GCTTCTTGTTTCAGCTCTTTGTATCTCTGTGTATATGAATAATTATCTTGCTTAATTGTTTCCTTGGGATTGTCTTCTCAAGTTTAGGGTTTGTTGCTATTGAAATTAAGACTCAATTCATTCTCTGTTATATTCTTAGAATTGAAAGTTTGTCTTTTGAGTTTTTGTTTTGTTTTTTCCTTCGAATATATCAAGTAGCTTAATTTATGAAAATGCAAGAGAAGTCAAATAAATTTTCCATTTGTTTGGTCTGTATATTCATTGATCATTGTATGTCCTGTAGATGGAGGTGCAAAGCCTATCAAGCTTTGATTTGGATCCAGGTCCTGTTGATCAATCTATATTAGTATGGCAACATGAGCATAGATCAGCTGCAATATGGGAGGACGAGGTGTGTAATAGTAGTTTAGTCATTATCTGTTTTCTTCTCTTGTTTTGCTTCTTGTGCTATAATGATTTCATTTTTAGGTTCCTCCTCGTGAATTGACATGTCGGCACAAATTATTAGGCATGCGAGATTGGCCTCTGGAACCTCTCGTGTGTCGAAAGTTGATCGAGTTTGGACTGTATGGAGTGTACAAGGTTGCGTTTATACAACTTGATTATGCTCTGATAACAGCTCTTGTGGAAAGATGGAGACCCGAAACGCATACTTTTCATCTTCCTGCTGGAGAGATCACTGTGACTTTACAAGATGTGAATATATTGTTGGGTCTCCGTGTAGATGGACCTGCGGTAACTGGTAGTACAAAAAACAACTGGGCTGATTTATGCGAGGATTTGCTAGGTCGTAGACCAGGTCCTAAGGATCTACATGGTTCTCATGTGTCCTTAGCGTGGCTTCGTGATAATTTTCGGAATTTACCTGCTGACCCTGATGAAGTTACGTTGAAGTGTCACACTAGGGCTTTTGTGTTAGCTTTGATGAGTGGTTTTCTTTACGGGGATAAGTCTAAACATGATGTTGCGTTGACGTTTCTTCCTCTGCTAAGGGACTTTGATGAAGTGTCTCAGCTTAGTTGGGGTAGTGCTACGCTAGCACTTCTCTACAGAGAGTTGTGTCGGGCAAGTAAGAGGACCGTTTCTACCATTTGTGGCCCTCTTGTTCTGTTGCAGTTATGGGCATGGGAACGATTGCATGTTGGTCGTCCTGGAAGACTTAAAGATGTTGGTGCTTCGTATATGGATGGCATTGATGGTCCTTTACCAGATCCATTAGGCTGTAGGTAATTGAGATATATCATATTATGTTCTAAGTTTGTTCTTACATGTTTAATTTCAATTTGTTTCACTTATTAAACTGCTTGAAAGCTAGGTGGAGGGCTTCTCTGAGTCATAAAGAGAATCCACGCGGAGGACTGGACTTTTACAGGGACCAATTTGACCAGCAGAAAGATGAGCAGGTATAGAATGGATAGTCCCCTAATAATATTTTATCGAAAGATCTCTGATACATTGGTTGATGTAAACGACTTGGGAA